GGAGGAGGAGGAGGAGGAAAAAAATGGCGATGGGGAGGACGACAAGGTGGAGGAAGATGGCGATGAGGAGGAGGAGGGGGAGGAAGAGGAGGAGGATGGCGATGGGGAGGAGTAGGAGGATGGCGGATGGGGAGGAGGAGGAAGACGACCCTCCCCCCAGCGTCGTCTTCCGCCTCCTCCTCCTACTCCTCCTCCTCCTCTCCTCATAGACTGGCCACATGAGAGAAATAGAGAGATTGACAAGTGGTGATTGCTTGTGCGACTACGTGTGCGTGTGTGGGAGGCAGGCCACATCAGCAAGTGCGACAACAGTTGTCAACGCAACGGCCAAATCTGCAACATGATAAGTGCAACTTCAGCTGGAGTTTGGAGATGGTCGTCCTGGAGCGTTGATTGCTGAGAGGGAGCCATTAAGGGATGATCCGACATTTCGGGGTAACTTCTGTGTGTGGTCGTGGGAGTCTGCCGGGCAGAAGCTGAAGGAGACCATTCGGGGTGGTCGTCGCTGGAAATGCAAGTTGTGCGGCCGTGAGTTCGTGGGGGGCAACCATGTGTCGTTGAGCACTTCATTTGGAAGAGACCGACTGCACGTTACTCTGATGGGACACTGACTATCTGGAGGAGGCTGCACGCTGTCGGGGTGGTATTGCCTGCAAACTTGTTGGAATTGGTGCGCCGAGCAGAGGAGGAGAAGAACAACACCGGTGATGGTGGTTTGGAGGGAGGAGATGTCGGGGCAGACTCTGAGGACGAAGGAGGGAGACAAGTGGGGAGGGGTGGACGGCCGGGTCCACAATCTTGCAGTGGGGTGGAGGCTGCTGGGGGGAGGGTTGTCGATGTGTGAGGTGCATGTGGGGGGGAAGCAGGCTGTTCTCGTGCTAATGCACCGCAAGCAAACGCGGGCAGGTGAAGCAGACTTCCATCGTGAGGTGGGTCAAAACCCCACGACAAAAGGACATTGATGAGAGTTGCATCAAGTTCTTTATGAAGAAGGCGATCCCCTTCAATGTGGCGAAGAGCAAGTCCTTCAAGAAGTTCATCAACGCATGTTATGGACCAGAACCTGCTGCCAGACATCACATGTTCCCCACTAGCTACAACCCTCTGAGATGTTATCTTCTCGACGACTTGAGGCGGAGGTTGAGCGAGGAGGAGCAGGCCATCAACGATGATTGGGAGGTCACGGGCTGCACGTTCATCATTGACGACACCACAAACATATGTGGGTGGTCATTGGTGAATTACATCCTCGCAGAGCATTCGAAGCCCCTATTCATCAAGTGTAAGGACGTCAGCGACCAGGATAAGGACGTTGCTGCAGTTATTCGTGGATGAAAGAACTTCTTCAGGGAGATTGGGGTTGAGAAAATCACAACCATCTGCACTGACTCCTTCTTGGGGAACAAATCTGCAGCCACGGTGTCGAGGGCAGATCCAGAGTTCCAACAAATATATTGGATCGCGTGCACTGCGCATTGCATAAACATGTTCATGCAGGATGTGGGCGACAAGCCGTGGGCTAAGGATGTCATCAAGAAGGCAAATATGGTCGCTAATTTATTCAGGAACCACAGGTGGCCACGATGGGCATTGAGGACGGAGCTGATGGCACAAAAGGGTGTCAAGGTCAGAGTTCTTCTTCGTCCTGCCCTTACGAGGTTTGGGACCCACTTCGTCATGTTGGATCTGCTGTTGACATGCAAGAGAGCCCTTCGTTGCTTGGTGTTGGCACTGTTGGGGGAATCGTGGACGAACATAGATTGGCAACCGTATATCAGGATGAACACTTACCAGGTGGAGTCCCTTATCAGTGACAGGGCATTCTGGGCAGATTTGAAGAAGCTGCATCATGATCGAGTGATGAAAGAGCACTACAATGTGTTGAGGATGGTCGACAAGGACATCCACTGCTTGTCCAGGGTGTACGACGCTGCCGTGGACGTGAAGAGTTGTGTTCTTCATGCACCACTCACAGACGATGAGCGGGACAACATCTTGCGTGATGTGGGAAAGAGGACGGACATGCTTCTCAGCCCTGTTCATGCTGTGGCCCGACTGTTGGACCCTCGATTGCGGGACATCATCATCTTCAACAATTTGGACTTAATGTCGCAATTCGATAGCGTGGTGGACCGTCTCGTTGCAAAGAATGAGAGTCAGAAGTTCAAGAACTGCAAAGACCAGTTATGACTTCCAATTCAGCAAAGGGATTTGTGGTGATGCAGCAGCATTGAGGAGGGCAGACAAGGACAATGCAATGTTGTGGTGGGAGACACACGGAGGTGGTCATCCAGAGTTTAAGATGTTGGCGATGAAAGTGCTTTCGATATGGATCACATCCTCTCCTGCAGAGAGGAACTAGAGTACGTGATCCCTCGCGCAGACGAAGACGAGGAACCAACTGAAGCACAAACATACAGAGAAGCTTGTCTACTCGCACTCGAACCTCAGACTGAAGAGCAGGGGGGAAGATGGGCCGACAGTGAAAGGAGGGTGGTTGGGGCTGGAGCAGGACTAGGTGGACGAGGATCTCAAAGGCGAGGCAGTTGGCATGCTTAATGTGAAGGACGATGATGCAGTCAGGCATGACGCCACCGGATCTGAGAGGGGCAGCACCAACGTCGTTACTGCACCTCGTGCATCTCAAAATATGACGCATAGACCGGATGTGTTCGAGGAGGTGGAGGTGGAGGAGGAGGAGGAGGAGGGAGATGAATTCCCTCACGAGGAGTAGTGCAACAACAAGTCCGACTCAAACAGGTCGTGGACGTGGAAGGAGGGCATTCTTCCGTATACCGCCGACCCGCATTTCAACCACCGGATTGCATTACGGAATGCTCCGGGCCAACAAGAGGGCCAACAACACGAGGAACGATGTCGCGCGCATCGGTCCGACACCGCACAAGCGGGGCGGGACCCTGCCGGCCACGTCACGCAGAAGTTGATCTATTCCTCATCGCAAATACACAAGGAGCTTCCGCAAGCCATTCCAGCCGAGTGCGCCAACCATACCTCTCACGAGCCCCTACGACAGGATAGGGCGTACACGAGGCACGACTTACCTCCACCTTACGAAGTTATCACCTCCCTTCGGTGGGCGTATCCCCGCCGAGCTACCAGTCCACAATACGAAAGCTAATCAGCTGCAATCGCAAAGGTGGACCACCCGAGGGCGTTTCTCGTTCGCTATAGCATAGGGGGTACACGCGGTTTTACGCCTGTATCGGACCCACACGCGAACCGGCGCCTTGGGGGGATGAGGTCCCAAGCTCGACCCGTCATCAGTCGACTAGGAAGCTTCCCACAGACCACGCGCACACCACTACAAAGACATAAAAATGAAAACACACACACAAACACATAAAAATGGCACAAACAAAACAACACACTCAATCCTAGCCCCTTCAGTGGCCATCCCATAACTTTTCGATGCGAAAATCGGATATGCGACGCGCATGAGACTTAGTATAAAATCGTGCGGACGCAGGGCTAACTCATATCGACTCACAGTGCAGGCATATACTAGCCGTCGCAATGATGGCGTACTGTGTAGTGACCGTAATCAAGCGGTCCCTCGTGGGTTCGAGTACCACTTATGATAATCAAGAGTCAAACTCGAAATATCGTGAGGATCTACCCCTTCCCGATATTGCACGGCTGAAGGAACAATCGTGCGGCCTCCACGACACCTCCGGCCTTTAGGCTGAGTGTCCTGGTGGGCAGGGCAAATAGGCTCTGTGCGGGGGGTGATCCCTTCCATGCAGAGTCTAGGACCTGGGATGTCCTGGACAAGGACGTCGAATCCAGGCCCAGGACCAACGTTCGACTTTTTTTTTTTTTTTTTTTTTTTTTTTAAACGGGCTCGGTGCCCAAGGCTGATATTAGTAATGAAAGATATTGAGGCCGGGGTCCTCACAGTCTACCCGGAGTAACAAAACAGATATTGTTGAAAACCGGGCTCAGCGTCCCTTATGATGATGACCAAAACGTAGAATCTAAAAGTTTTTAAGGTGTCGGAGCCATTACCCGACTTTGGCTATGAAAACTTCTAGGCTACTCAGATATTTACTTTGACAAACTTCAGGGAAATCCGTCTGCTACAACTGAAAACGCCACCACAGAAGTCCACTAATGCTCAGAAATCTACAAATCCCTAGCAACTCATCTGAGTTTTCCAACACTGACAAAACTCACTGCTGAGCTCTTCCAAGTCTCGCACCCCCACCCTGCTGGGTTACAGGGTAACACGACCCACCCCAACTCCGACTAGCGTTGTCTCAGCAACGACCCTTGGTTGTCCCTTAGAATGCCCCCCCAAAGCATCCCCAGATCTCTCTACCAACCCTCACGCTCCTGCATCCGCAGGTTACAGGGCAATGCCCCAGCACCGGTCAGCATCGTTTTGGCATCAAACACTCCGCAGGTCACTGAATACATCAGTACTGAATGATCTAAGCTGGGTTATTAGAAGTCACCAGATTCCTAAGACACTCTTAAGACCCCTGTTGGTACATACTTACTCAGGGACAGTACCAACCATACTAACCCATAGTTGATCTCTTCTCGCCACTACGCAACCCCCCCGATTCGCCACTGACTTGCCTTCCACCCTCGGCAACCCCCAGACCTCTCTACAATGCCTCATACTCCTGCGGATTGCAGGTCACAGGGCGACGCCACAGCTCCGGCCAGCGTCGTTCTGGCATCGGCAAAACAGGGGCACATAACAAAAAAAGCTATGCGGATGTCAGTCCCGTTATGACCCTCTCTGAACTCCTACACCCCAGTTTGCAAGTAAAGGCTAAATACTACCAAGGATCCAAAACCAGAGAATATTAGTAAGGACTGCACAAACAATTAACCACCCACTCTCCCCGCAACTATTGAAGAAAACTACAGGTCTCGTGTTCAGTCCTCAAACAACACACGGTTGGTCTCCTTTAAAAAACATACAATAATAAAAGGGGAATAAGTATGTGACGATCATTTCTCACAATCACGGTGGGACTCCTCACAACCATATATATGTATGTGATCCCAGACAATCAAATCCAAAGTCCGAACCACACAACATACCTGCAATCACATCAACACGTTAACTAAATGTCCACACACTACACGAAGTCAACTTCGACCATTCTCTATACAAATACCCCTCGCTTTAGCCATGCAAGCCCCAACCTTTGTCCAACCTTCCATAATTAAATACTAAGTACCTTTGTTAAATGACCATTCAATAAAACTCCGGATAAAAACTTTAATAAAACAATAAAACCCACCGGAGGCTAAGGCCTTTTAGATCGAGTATTGAGGATGAATTGGAGTTGAGTTGTAGACCGACGAATCGGCAACTGACCTGTTATCAGTGATAATAGAAGATGATCCTCGTAGGATCAAACTAGATTTAGTCCAAATCTTGAATCACGCGATCAAGAAGACCTGTAACAGAAGACAGACCAATCCTCGGGCTAAATCTATAAGTCTATCGAGAATAAGGTCCTTAGCACATTCTCACCCAAGGTCCTCCTACAAGCTAATCTTAGGCCTACCTCTAAGCTAGTACCCAACGTAAGGTTGTTCTATGGCATAATCTCCCTTATTCAACGTGGACCGTCATAATTGTCACCTATCAAAATATACTCTGACTCCTTTAAACTAGGAAAATTTCGGCAGCGCTTCCCGTAGGAAAAATATTTTCTCATAATTTATACTAACGCAAATATGACAACAAAAACAACATTAAATACTGAAAAGTCAAATTTTCTCGAACTCCCCGAATTAGTAAAAATTTGAGCAGCACTCCCTTTGGAAAAAAAGTCTTTCCAGATTTTTACTAAGTCAGATATGAACTAAGAAGCAAGACCTGAGTTCAACTAAGACAAAATTTAACTAACTCTTCAGATTTGTAAAAAACTCGGCAAAACTCCCTTTAGAAAAATGTTAATCTAAGATTTATACGAAGTTAATTTCATAATCTTAAAGTGACTTTTGACTTCTCAAGGTTCAATTTTGTCTAACTTCTTGAATTAACAAAAATTTGGGCATAACTCCCTTTAGAAATTTTTTTTTTTCATATTTTTACTAAGCCAAAAAACTCAGACAAATTGAACCTTGAAAAAACAAAATGTGACTGACTCCTTTGTTTTGTAGAAATTTCGGCAGCGCTTCCCGTAGAGAAAGTAGCTTACGAAGATTTACATAAGGCCAAGTATAATAAATAATCCCAAAAAATACAGAAATCGACCTAAGTAAAAAATAAACTTTGCTAAAAAAATACAGGAATTGAAACTAAATCCTATGGCTCTAGCACGTGGTGAGCATCTAAAGCAACTACCTATCAACTGAAAACTCAGACCAAGTAGCAATTTCACTAAGTCACAAGCAAGGCCAAACCACAGAGGCAAGTACTCTCACCAACAAAAAACCTACCTTATCAAATAATAGTTCATTATCTTTCAATGATTTATCCCTTTATACCCAGGTTACATAAGACGTAAAGGTAGACCACCCAATCTTATGAGAACCTGCCTCGCTCAGCCATAGAATATACACAAACAAAGAGCACTACAACTTTTCTTTTTTTTTGGCACATAACTAGGTTAGCCAGCCTAGTCGCCTTGAACCATTTAAATATCCAAGTTGTATGTAATTATCTGCACTTAGTCTTTTAGGGTAGCATATGATTGAACCGATCATCTTAGATCAAGGTTGAACATGCCCCTTATTACCACAAATTTATACTTAATTTATACTCTCTTCAATTTGTGGTAAGCTACAGTCAGACCATCCAATCTTATGGAAAAATGTCTGACTAGCCTGTTTATAAGTAAGTACTATAAGATATAAACAAATTTAACCTTTTGGTTCTAGCATGTGAGCAACTCCAGACCAGACCACCCAATCTTATGGGAACTTGTCCAGTCCTCTGCCTGAATTTCTCCCTAAAAAATAAAACAAGAGAGAGTAAGGGTCATCCAATCTTATGGAACGTGTCCAACTCTCCTTAAGAACTAATAAAACATAAGAAAACCCAAAGAAGCAACGCAACCAAGCCATCCAATCTTATGGAAAAATGTTTAGTCCCTGAAAATCAGGCACAAACATCCCTCGCAAGTCAAAGCAACCAGACCACCCAATCTTATGGGAACTTGTCTGGTCCTTCAAGTAATCGAAAATAAACACAACACTGAACCCTCCAATCTTATGGAGACTCTCCCAGCCTTTGGTTGACCC